AAAACACCAAAAAACACCAAAAAAAACAACAACAAAAAAAACCCAAACCAAAAAAGCCTCAAACCCTGGACTGTAAGGGGTCCTCTAATATAAAGAGAAATAAAATAGTTTTTACAGACTAACCAGAAGCTTGTCCCGAGCATGTCATCATAGAATCAGAATGGCTTGGGTTAGAAGGGACCTTAAAGATCATCCAGTTCCAACCCCCTGCCACAGGCAGGGACACCTTCCACTAGAGCAGGTTGCTCCAAAAGCCCCTGTGTCCAACCTGGCCTTGAACACTGCCAGGAATGGGGCAGCCACAGCTCTAACATCTCTCTGGAGGCTTTTCTCCTCCAGGCTGAACAAGCCCCGCTCTCTCAGCCTGTCAGTCGGGGGGGTCACAGCCCACCGGGCCGCTGAGGAGGAGCCTCCGGAGAGCCCTCCAGCAGCAGCCGGCATGCGTCTAGCAGCCAGCAGCCTTTAAATATTTACCACCTTTCCTGCAGGAACCAACACAGACGCAGCAGGATCAAATGAACTGAGCTTTGGAACAACCTACTTTTTGCTAAGCAGTGACTTCATTATACAATATAAACTGAATATAGGTTGCGTCAACTTATTTTCCCCCTCACTTTCTACTAGTTTTCCAGTTCATGGTAGAAAGTGATGGAGCAGGTGCCTTCAGGAGCATGCATACAAACCTGCACTTAAGGAGGACATAAGTGGAACCCAGGTCAGTACAGGTGGGAGTTTTAGAAACCTACTGACCATAAACTTTGCCATATTTGTTTCAAGAAAATATGACCACAATAGACACTGTATTGCTGAAATAGCTTCTAATTTGAGTATTATCAATTACCTGTTATGTCTATTATGCACATTTATAAAACTAAAATTAATTGTGCACATTTATAAAACTAAAATTAAGTCAAGGTCTGTCCATCTTCATGTAGTCTTTAGTATTAGTGCACTGACAATAAGGACGTTAATCATGTGGCACCTGTAATATTTCACTCTTCTTGAATATTATCATTCCATTAATCCCCTGAAGACCACTTAGACAACTGGTAATGTTTATACATTGGCTTTTGTAATGCGTCTGAAAACGAAAAGGGACCTTTTAGTAGCAGGGACCTAATTGTGATTCCAGTTGAACACTATCAGCTCTGTCACTGTAAAATGACACATAGTGACAAAATCCTGTGGCTGTGGCCAACCACATCGTGTTTAGTTACTTATTCCTATTTATTCCACTTTGATTCCGGCAAAAGCGACCAGCAGAGGGCTGCCTTTCTTTAAAATACTCTAATGGGAGAAAATTATGTGGGTTAATGATATATTAAGCAAGGGAAAATTTAGGTAACTGGAGAAAATGGCAGCGTGGATGGCATAGAAATATATATTAAAGATAGCCAGCTGGATTAAAACTGTTTTATGCTAGGTTTTGCACATAGTACAAAATTTTTTTGCAATAACTCAAAGAAATATTTATACATGGTTGACCAAATTCAAACTTCACGTGATTAGCTGTAACACTACAGAAAGGAGGCCTGATAACACTGGGCTTTAAGTTCAACTTATAATACAATTTTAAAAGAAATTAAGACTTTACATTCCACTTATAATACATTCCTATTTACAAGGTAGGTTTGGCATGAGAAGTATAATCATCTTTTTACAAATAATGTGATAAATATTTACAAGCATTTATGGTATCTCCACTTCTGAGTGGCCAAAGTCAGCTGGGAGTCCCTCCTCTGCCAACGATAAACTTGTTTTACTAAAATGATGCCCTCTTCAATATTCCCCACAAGGAGATACACCATGGGACGGTGGCTCAGAGTCATCCTTTGCATACAGTTTTCATTAACAAACAGCCACTGTTGTATCATACTCTGAGTTTCATAAGGCAAGAGTGAGCTCTGGGTAATGAATTCCACTTGGCATTCAATGTTATACTCTTGGTCACCAAATACTGTTCTTTTCTTGGACAGCTTTACTTTCACTGCTAAGGAAAAAAAAAGGAAATGTGTGAGTGACTCCATCTATTCGAACACCAAAAGAAATACTACCAATAAAAGCACGATGATTCCTTAAAAATGACATCATAACTTATGCTGATAGGGTATGGCAAGGCCTTCTCTAGCAGCAGTATACTTTTTAAAACATTGTTTAAAAATGGAGGTTATGTAGTAAAGATCTTTTTCACTGAATTAGGCAACTAGGAAAAAATATTTTCACAAAAGTGAGTAATGTATTTTTATCATCATCATGCGTGTCAGGCTTTTTGGATAATTAGATATCAAAATCTGTTGATGTTGGTTTTGTATCACAAGTAAGAATTTCTTTTACTGATCTGATTTTTGAGTCTTCTTTTCAGTAAGCCTTGTATTATGAAAAACTCATGCACACAAGTGGCAAGGACACAGTGTTCACTAGTAAAATACCACAGCTTTATTTTGGGTTTAACCACTAATAAAAGGCAAACCTGCTTATTTGGCTGCTTTTGCCAGAAATATTTTCCATAAAGCATGTTGTCCCACAATGTAGCCAACTAAACAAGAACAGAAGAGCTGTTTGCTTGTAAACTAGATCATTGATGAATCTTTCATGAGAAATAAATCCTCCTTATATTTTGATTTGAAAGAACATATTCTGAAAAACAATCCAAAGTTAAAAGCCAAACTCTTAATCCTTTTAAATTACAGCAGAAATGGTCATTATTGTAATCCTAATTTTAAAACATTTTAGAAGGAGAGTTGTTAGTCTTTTTAATAGCAGCCATATTAGCAAGGACTTACCAAAGTTACTGTCACAGAAAACTTCGAGAACTCTCTTGTACGTAAAGATTTCCTCCACTGCTGGGCAGGTCTGGCAGGCAGGCTTTGGTAGGTCTGCTGAGAAATCACCAAGTGTCATCATTACGTTTTAGAATCTTTGGTTTAATTTTCTGCTGTCAAAGCTGAGAGCCCACTGTTTAACCACAGGGATGACAGAGAAAATACACAACTGGTCAGTGATAACATAGCAAGTCTCTGAAAACATGGCTAGGGATGAAAAAGTTTAATTTTTCATGTGCATTCAGTCCTTGTTTGAACTGACGAGCTCAATTATCAGCATCAAATACAGTAACAAATACAGTATTGTTTTTAATACTGCTGAAGTGGGTGGGAAAGGGGTTAGGTGGCTGATTCTATCTATGACCCTGGATGCAGCTGCACTAGGATTGTGAATACATGAATTTGGGTGTGATAGCAGCAATCAAGTCCTGTTGTTTTCTGCAGAAGTTAATAAGCCTGAGTACATCTGAATAGTTGAACATTATTGTCACTATATCTCTGTTTTAGAAAAAAAACAAACCCAAAAAATCAGATAATAAATCATTCCAACTTTTCCAAGCTGATATGAGAATCAATTTATCCTATATGTAAATTTATTTGTGATAAGGGCCATTGATAAGTCTATAAAGACTTAAATCAAACACAGTGTGCTACCTTGGCTATGATACTGCCCACAGCAGTGCAAGGTGGTAACTGCCTTCCTCTACTATCTAAGCATATCTACACTTTCTTTTTTAAAGTGATGCTGAGGTCTGCTGCAGCTCACTCTACAAGTTCCAACATTTTCCCCTGCCATCTGCATGAACAGTACAGATAGACATGACTCCACTTATAAAATCCAGACTGCCTGTGAGCAGTGTCCCCTTTATCTCCTTCATTCCCAGGAACACAGTGTAGGGCCACCCTCCCCTACACCATCCTCCCGCTACCTTTTTGCAAGTATTTGTATTCCTTTGTGAGAGATGCCAGGCATATGTCCTCATCTGCAGGGAATCGATTGCAGTCCAGACTGTCAGGCCAGGGGTGTCCATGGCAGGCGAGCACAGGGGCGCAGCTGTCACGGACAGCAACACACATACTCCTACAAGGATGGATAAACCTGTGGCCAGAGGAAATACCAGGCTGAATCACTTGAATTCACCAGTGATAGCAGAAACTATTGCAACAGTGATTTCTGTGCAAAGTACATCATCTGCACTGATATTTAGCATCTTTCAATAATAATATAGTTCTAGAAATGGCAGCTGTGCAAACTATGTGAGTGGTTTGCGTATGGACTCCACTGAGCTTGCAGGATTAAGTCACAGTTTTTAAAATTCTTTTATTACAACCTGAAAAAAGCTTCAGCATGAGCCTGATTCTATTCACAATAAGTGCTTCAACCCTGAATTAACAAGAGTAAAGTTTTAACTGTAACAAAATAAAACCTGATATCCCTTGACAACAGCATTCATTTTCCCAAGGCAAACTAAAGTGGAAGTGGAACACATTTTCAGTACTTTTCTTTCTGATGAGTACAAAAAAGTTAGAATTACTTCAAAAAAAGTGGAGATTGCCTTTAGATTATGATAAACATTCATTTCATTTGACCCCTGTTCTGGCAAATAAAAGCTGGAGTTTTGTACTGTGCTGTGGTACTTACGTATCTAAACAGATGGGTGAGAACAGGGAGCACAGGAATGTCCTCACGTGAGGATGACAGTCTGTGTGCGCAAGGTGCTGCCAGGTGGTGGATTTCAGGATAACCTCTGCCATGCTGGTGTGTCCCATCAGGTTGGGAAGCCTCATTTCGGAGTATCCAATCTTGTGGCACATGCCCATCTCCTTGGGTATCACTACGCATTTCGTGGATAATCCAATGTCAAAGCCTGTTGCCACTCTTAGGAAACCACTCACAGCAAAAACAAGTATTTTTGCAGTCAAGAACATCTTCCAGTGACTCCTGGGCTGCTGAGCAGGCAGCTGTCAAGCCCCTAAGAGCCAGGGTTTGCTGAAACCTTGTGGCTTATATATCCCAAGAGCTTAATGAACTGTGGTTATCAATTGCTTATCAAATCACTTGAGACAAGACCAGGTCTTATTGCCTATTCAAGGGATCGTTGTGATAACCAGGGAGGTGGAGGCAAAGTATAGAAGTATGTTCCCTGAAGACACAGGTTTGGTATAGACTTTCACGTGTCCCATGGTGTCAGTGGCTGCAGCATGCTATGTGGCATATTAAATTTTGACACCTAGAAGGTTTGCTATGTGCTTTCTAAAACAAATTAAGAAATCCCCAGAAAAATGGTTGGGCAGACAAGCTGTCTCCTGGGGCTGCTGTGTCTCCTTTGTTTTCAGACACTGCTGACAGGGCAGAAAAAAACAGGGTAGATTGACTTATCAAGTGAAAATGTTTTGCTTGTGCTAATTGCCTGTGTCTCTTCCACTGTTTTACAATGTAGAAGAGATACTTTCTTTGGTCAAGCACTATAAAAGAGACGGCCTCCCACTACTAACCAAGTGTTTTGTCTGGAAATTTGGATCCCTATCCTGTTACATGCTAAAGGTCCTAACTTGTATTAATTTTAATAGACCTGAAAATAGAGAATTGTTTTGCTGATTGGGATATGTGCCTACCAGATGGCTACAGAGCTTACATCTTTTATTTATTCAAGTTCAGTGGTGCATTTAATATTGTAGGACTCTTGTAGCTGTTGGTATATATTCAGCATGAAAAGGCAGTACACATATGGAGAAACATTATTATTATTTCAAATGAAACTGGCTACACTTAAAATTACTCAAATAATGCAGTGCTTCACCTATTTATCAATACGTTATTATTACATCAAGCTGTATGAAAGCAAATTATACCAGACGTGTACTATTTCTCTTCATAGTACAGAAAAAAAAGTAATATTAACTTTCTTAATGAAAAGTTAACAGAGTTGCTGACTGAGTACTTCACTGCTGTTCTTAGTACAGTACTGACAAACAGCTCTGCTATAGAGAAACTCTGCAATTGCTTAATGTGACAGTGGCTATGGGTAATGTGTAGTTTACCTATTATGAATAGAAAAGTCAGATTATTAGTTAAAAGAGTTGAAGATTTAAATAAAACATTTTGTGGAAACTTTTCATTTGATGAAAACAGGTTTCCAATTAGTTATGGGTGTTAATATTTATTTCCATTTTTAATAATATTTTTATTAACAGAAATATTCAGATATTAATAATAATTAGGTGGATCTACTGTAAAATATCTGGCTTGACTATTAGGCTAAAATGAGTATGTTCATAATAGTGTATCATCTAGTATTACTGATGCTTGATTGAAATACATTTTTCAGAAACAGCAGCTTTTTGTGCTTATACCTAGATGTAGCACATTTAGACAATGTGGTACATATCATTTACATGTTTATACCTAAATGTTAGATTATTAATCCCAGTATCTTTGAAACCAATGACAAAGTGCCGCTGACTCCTTAGCTGTCTTCTTTAAGCTACTGGGAAAATGACAGTATCTGTTTAAGTAAGTCAGAAAAAATGACAGCATGCAAGGTTCTAGTAACTAAAGGTGTATTTAAAAGAATTGTTAGTTTTTCTTTTCATCTTTTGTTGCCAGCTCTGGTTGTTGTTTTGTTGGGTTTTTTTTCAATAAACATGGTTTCTCTGTATCTTCTATCTCATTTCAAAGCAGAGGAACTGAATACCTAACCGGGCCGATTTAGGCCTGATGGTAACATCCCTTTACCAGCTGCTCCATGTATTCCATAAGAAGTTGAAGAACTTTACTAAAACCCAATATAAGTCCTGTTCTTGTTAAATCTATGCAGGTATCCCTGGGGGCCACACTTTCTCATAGCTGCTCTTGCTACCAGTCTGCAATGAAGTGACGACACAAAGCTGCTCAGCACAGGAAGAGGGCAGACCTGCATGCCCAGCCAGCTGTGCAGCCACTCTGAGTGGCTGCCTGGTGCCATCTGGCTCTCACTCCACTCAGAGCAAAGCCGTAAGCCTCACCTCCTATGCCCAGGGTGCAGAGCTCAGCTCACACAGGCTCCAGAGATCTTGCAGACACCCTGACGTCTCTCACCTGAGCGTCACTTCGGTGTTCTGCAACTGGAGTGAAACTGGACTCCACATGTGAGTGTTCCCCTTCTCCAGCAGGCTTCCACATCCATCTGCATTGATGACATCTTTACTAAGTCACCCCTTAATTCTATGAAATCAATCAAATTCCTCTCTGACCCTAAGAGTATACTTTTGTAATACTTTTCTCATTTGATTGCTATTTGAAAGTAGGTGGCAAGATCTCCGAAGAGGGAAAACCTTCTGTTGCATGTGGGGCATGGTATTGCATGCATATTCCTGAGTGATATAAAATATATATTAAGAAAGAATATTTGGTCTCTCAATTATTTAAATGTTTTTCTCTGTCACTGCCTCACAACCTACAAGAAAACTTGATTGACCCTAAAACTTGAGTCAAATCTGTTACTCCTGATAATGAGGGGTTATTGTGCTGCTCTGCAAAGAACAGCTCTGCGCTGCTGCCAAGGGCCTTGCTGTGCCTCTTCCCACCATGGTATGCCTTGCAAACCATCCCATGCTAGGCCAAACTCTGGCTGTACCCAAGACCAGGCATGCTGGCTTCTGACATAGCAGGTATGATTCTGAGAGCTCCTTCTGGGCCACCACTGATGGACAGAAGGAGACAGGCATAACGAGAGAGTGTGAGATGAATATGATCTAGTAAGAGCTAATACCTCTCCTGACAAATTAGTCTCCATAGGAACTGTCTTAGAAATAAATAATTGTGCATCTGAATCAGTTTCCTACCAGGGCTTCACAGGGGGTAGTTCATTTATGAGCCATTGCAGAGTTGTACCTTAAAGATTCTTTTAGCCTCCGATATGGCTCAAAGAAGGCCAGCTATATTTTGGTGTTTTGCTTTTGGTGAGCTGACTTTCAGTGGGTCATCATTTTGTAATGCTAAAGAAAACAGGTTTTCTCCATGTGAGTACAGTGGTGTCATTGGAGGCTGAGGGCCTGACCATGCAGGAGGATTAAGGCCTCAGTTGGGACAGGAAGGAGCACACCACTGCTCAGCCACATCTGTCAAGGTGCTTCAGTGGAGAGCCTAGAGGATTCAAGAATGTGGAGGCCATCAGAAGAATGGCAAGCCACCTGCTTTGCTTCTGTTTCTTCTTGTTTCCTTGCTATTTTGACCAGAGTAGCCATTTGCCCAGGAGTATCAAGACTACATGTTTGTCAGGAATGGTGAAGCTCACTCAAGGGCTGAAGGATCAGCATCAGATCTGAGTACAAAATGTGCGCAAATGCCTCTGCTGGACACCTGTGAGTGCATTGGGTTAAGCTGGATATGAAACCAGGGCAGAATCTGTCATTCAGTCATTTTTGTTAGCTTTTTTTTTTTGGTAAGGGAAGAGCATCATTTATGGGAGCTTCTGATTCTTCTGTCTTCTGACAGTCACTGGGTTCAAGATGTTAGCTGGGTCAAATGCCTTATCCTGTGCCATTTTCTGTGTCATTTACCAAGGAATTTGGTGATTTGACACTTCCTTTTGCTACATTCACAAGCACTTTTAAGCAAAGGACTGTGGCTAACGCTTCTGTTCAGGCTTAATTATTTTGATGTTCTTCATGAGCAGATGTTACCTTGAAGCTCTGTTTGACAGCAAGTCATGTATCATTTTTAGCAGGAGTCTTGCAGAGCAGTTATTAAAAATGAACATGTAAAGTAGATTGCCATTGCTTCAAGTCAGTCAGATCCTGTCTCCTCAGCAGGGGCATGAGCTGCAGCACACACATTGCTGTGCCACAGAGTCACCTTTTTTGAAAACTCTCAGCTGTTCATTGACATGGTGTGGAAAAAAGTATCAGGCAAATATGCACACAGCTCGCTTTTGGGAACAATAAACTCATCTATTGTTGCCACACCAGCTAAGCATTCAAATTACACAAAAGCTGGTGGGGCACAGTATTTCTAATCACAGTGATATATGTGTGTAGAGGTTGGTTGAATAAAGACTGTCTAAACAGGGAAAAGAAAAGAGACTAGTTTAGCAGCAGCCTCTGCATACATTTTGCAGAGACAGCATAAAATACAAGACCTGAGGGTTTAGAGAAACTTCCCTCTGGAAACCTGGAGTCCAGCTAACGCGCTCTGAGGCTCCTAAAGAAAGCTGTGTGGTTGTTCCCCCAGCCACTGGCTGGCCTCACTTTTCCTGGATATGAGCAACAGTCACCTGCTGATGGACCCTGATAACAGGCAGAGCAGATGGAGGCTTGCTCCCTGCCCACCACCTCTGTGCCGACTCCTTTGACTGTTACTAGGGAGACAGACAGAGATTAACCAGGAGCCACCCATCAGACCCCAGCAAGAAATGGGGCTGATTTTTTCTTCAAAGAAAGTAGCAGTTTGAGAGCAAACTAGCAGACGTAGGCATTTTTGGTTTTAATCTATGCATCTGTTGCAATATTCACCTGAAGTCATTTTTATCTGGAGTTTAATTGCAGAGGTGCAAGGCTCTAGACAAAGATCAAAGCTTGTAACCGCGCACCCACAAAAGAAGGTCACAAACGAAGGCTGTGGAGCAGCGGTCCTCGCTCTGATGACAGCTTTGCTGGACCAGCATCATTACTGAGCAGGGCAGGATTTATTTCATGACGTGTCCTTTGCTTTATGAAAAAAACAATTAGGCCACGATGGTATCTGCAGAGGAAGAGTCACAGATGGTTTTGAAAAGGCCTCGTTAATTTATTTCTCACAATGGCTTTAGCATTCCTTTAATTTCTAAAGGGCAGGAATATTGTATTTCCTTATAAATCTGTAATGCAAATTGTTAAAGGCTCACTGCTCTGGCATGCTGAGCTCTGTCCTTATTACTATCAATCAAATAACTCACAGGAAAGTTTGTTTTAATAGTCAAAGAGAAAGTCGATGTTTTGGGTGT